TTCAAAAGGCAGAAGGTGGGACCTCCCCGAATCATACCCCCGAATCATACCCCCGAATCATACCCCGAATCATACCCCCGAATCATACCCCTTAAAACGTATACCGCAAGATGCTACTGTTCTTCTACCATTTTGTGTTGTTCACTGCCTCCACAACCACCACCAGCGCTACCCAATACTACCACTACCACTACTACTACTACTACTGCTACTACTACTACTGCTACTACTACTACTACTGCTACTACCGCGACTACGAGTGTTACTACCACTACCACCGCTACTACCGCTGCTACTACTGCTCTACTGCTTCTACTTCTGCTTCTGCTACCCTTACTAACTACTACGACTACTACGACTACTACCTTTATTACTACTACTACTACTACGACGACAACCTTTACTACTACTACTACTACTACTACTACTACTACTTCTACTACTACTATTCCTGCTGCTGCTGCTGCTGCTGCTACTACTCACTACTACTACATACATCATTCTGAGTCTGTAATCAGTGCCGTTTTGCACCGAGCCGAACCATACCCGCAAATCTCGAATCATACCCGGACAATGAGCTTCCCCAGCCAAGGCTAGTGCCAAGTCTTTTTCAAAGCGTCCGCACCACTACAGCCGCTGCTGCTTATGCTACAGCTGCTACCACTACTACTAACCTAGCCAAATCAAACCCGCGCAATGAACTTCCCTTGCCAAGGCCAGCGCCAAGTCTTTTCAAAGCTTCCGCGCCACTACAGTCGCTGCTTTTACGGTTACTACTACTACCACTACTACTAGTAGTAGTACTACTACTTCTACGACTACTGCTACTACTACGGCTGCTACTACTACTACTGCTACTACTACTACTACTACTACTAAAAGCTATTACCACTACTACTACTACTACTATTGTTACTACTACAATATTACTACTAGTACTACTACTTCGACAACTACTGCTACTACTACTACTGCTGCTGCTGCTGCTTCCGCGAATCATACCCCCGAATCATACCCCGAATCATACCCGCGAATCATACCTGCGAATCATACCCCGCACTCAAACCTTCCTGCCTGGTCCCCGAAAAAATACAAACCCACATTTTGCCCATGGCCTTTTCCACCAAAATACAAGGAAACCACCATTTACAAAGCAATGTTCAGGTGTAAAATGTAAGGATCCCTGTTCCAGGAAGTCTGCAATGTAACATGTGTATTGTCAATACACAACAACTACTTAAAAGGACTTCAAAAGCAACAAGTAGATCTTGGGGGAGGGCTGATCATATGAATATGTGTATGTTCATGTATACCTGAGAACTCCATCGGGCTAAAATAAACGCCGTTGTGATTTTGGACGAGAATGACTGCCGCCGCAACCAAAACAAAGCCGTTGGATTCAAGAAACGCCGTCAGTTTGCAAGAAACGCCGCAGGCCCCTGGCTGATCCAAATCAGCTCAGGGCCTCGGCGCAAAGCAGTCTCAAAAGGTGGCAACATGAAGCGTTGAACACAACTCAAAACTGACTTTCGCCCTCTTGTAAGGCGGCTTTGGTTGAATCGCGACATCCGGATCACTCCTTAGTGAAGATTATGCGCCGAACTTCATCAAGAAAGCGTTTGCGATGCTTGGGTTCGAGTTCCGCCGTTGGGATGCGTGTTTCCGCCGTTGGGTTGCGCGTTTCCGCCATCGGGACGCGCGTTTCCGCCGTCGGGACGCAGGTTTTCCGCCGGTGGTCAACACTTATTGCGGCAAAGCAAATGGGTATCCACCGAGCCTCACCAGCCCACAAAACCTAGCAAAATTGCATGGTCGCGCTCCAAGGTGCGCAGATCTTGCAAAGCAGCCCACATCAGGCAAAATGCCCACCAACCGCAAGAACGCTGTCGCAAATTCAAAAACGCCGCCACAACCCGCTCCCCTTCGAGTTCCGCCGCTGGACGGCAAAAGGCGCCTTTTCGAGTCTCAGGATGATTTTTGTTCGCCTTGTGGAGTTTATAGGTATGTATATGTACATGTATATGTATTACATGCATATGCGAACGTGTACACACACACACACACACACACACACACACGCACACATTCGAATGCACCCATGTGTACAAAGAGTAATGTCTTCATACACTTATGCTTGCAGGCGCGTGTACATGCCAATTCCTTTTGATATTTCTCTTTCGATGGTACCGAATTTGTCCTTCAGCCGAAGCCCAGTGGCCATTTTGAATTTAGATAAGCCATCGCCTCGTTGCAGAGGCGGTGCGTGTGATGGCCACCAGCGGTGTGGGCCAGCTAAAGCTGTGGCTGGGAGACTCGAACCACGCGCAAGCCTCAGTCGGCCGAGCGGGAGCGTCGTTTCTGACAGTGGCAAACTGCACTCCCATTCAATCATCTCTGAAAAACATTCCTCTCAAAGCAAGGGCTTGGTATGTTTCACGATAGTTTCATGTTAATTCGCAGGACTGAATTGGCAATTCTTTTTGAGTTATTTGAGGGACAATGATCAGTTGCGAATTGTGTTTTTGAAGGTCATCGAAAATCGATGGCTTGGATAACTTGCATTTTGTTGGACACCATTTTTTTGGTTTTCGGAATCCATCAACTAACCAGGAAGAATACAGCTTCTGTGTGTTTCACTGCCGGTTCAATGCGGCTCAGGAACACCCTCAGACAATTGTCATGGTTGGATTAGATGGAGGACTTGGGCCAACGTTAAACCGGATCACAGGCTTAAGGACGTGTAGGCCTACATTCCACTGTGGGTTTGCCGCATCCAATCGACAAAGCGCTAATGCCTGCTCGAATCCATTGTAACGGTTACCGGATGGATGGGGGGAAGCAACGTTGCCATCCGCATTCCGCATTCCTACTTTGGATCATGTGAGGTCTTTGGGACCAGAATCAAGCAGGCAGATTCTTGCAAGCTAGTGAAGCTGACTTTTACCTCGCAGTCATGCTTTGGATGCATCGAGATCAGTCCGTCACCACTTTGACCCTTGCAATGGTCACAAGCAGGTAGCTTACACCAATCCAAGTTTGAGCCAAGTCTGAATTCAGGGTGCTGTAAGATGCAAACAGAGACCCATGACTTGTCATGTAGCGCATCTTACGCTTGGGTTTTGCATTGTGAGAGCTTTCCGTTGCTACTTTGAGACTCCAGCTGTTGGGTGATGTAAAGGCCGAGCAACAACCATCAAATATGCGGCGGTTTCGGAAGATTTAATGGCAGCTGCATGGGCGAGAGATTTGGGATGTTCTTGTTGCACCAAGATCTATGGCCTGGTCAACGTCGCTGCCTTCCTGGCTCAGTGCATGCAGGAGCTGAAAGACACATTTCGTTGGGTTGCCCGGACTGACACACACACATAGTATCGCTCAAGGCCAAGCCTTGAGCATTAGGTTTGAGGCACTTTTTTGGCACTTTGGGCATGTGCGCAAGGGCATTGGGCACTTGTAGCGCATGTGTCAGCTTTGTCTTGGAGCTGAGCCTTGAGGAATGCCATGGATTTGCCATTGCCAGGAGACAATCCAGTACAATGCCTGTGACGAGACGCTCTTCTGCACAGCGTGTTGTGCTGGCGTCAGCCTATGCCATTGCAACCCTCTCATGTAGCTCGATGTAGCTGATATCGGAGTTTCCGAAGCAAAAATGTGTTCATTTTGCCTAATGATCACACACACCGTTAGTGTCTGGTGAGCTCATACGCATTGATAGATGATTGCAGACAAATGACTACGTCAGCGCGCTTCTTTTATGGCACCCATTCTGTTTCGGCGCATGTGCTGATTGTCGGCTCAACATATCATTGTCTCGCAGTGCATGTTGACGGTAGTCCTTCAGTCTTCTGTATGATGATAAGTGCTAAGCGGCATGATGGACATTGGCCGCATTGCATGGCCTTGGAAGCAATTCGGAGAAAGCGAGCTCAGCATCCTGTGGACAGTTACCATCGTTCAGTTGTGAGGAACAACTGGAGTGACAACAACGTGGTGGCAGAAGCTGGTGGTTCCACCTACTCATCAACGTCTTCCTGTGGGCAGCTGCACCAGTCCTATCAGGATGGGAAGCAAGTCATGGGCCCGTCCGCTGCATTGCTTTTCATCTTGCACATAACATGGGAAAATCTGCGTACGCTGCATCTACTCCATTCCCTGTGTTCTGGAAGTGGAGACCGCGCTTCTTGGTGTGGGGCTGCCCTGAATGTGGCTCGTTGCCAGGACTATGGGTGCTCAGCGGAGGAAGATGCCTTGGCAGGCGGCCGCATGGCCTGCGAGGTGGACCTCAACATGGAGATGCGGGCCTTCACCCAGGCCTTCGAATTCACGCTTGCCCAATGAGCCAACGCACTTTCCCCAGCTGTCAGCTATGAGTCCAGGCTGGCTGGTATGGGGCGCCTGCCAAGCTCTTTTGTGCTCCCAAGAGCAAGGCCGGAGAGAGGGAGTGGGTTGGCGCTTGTATCAATTGCCCCCCAAAAACCAAGACTATTTGTCCTTTTGGTGATAACTTCGCAGCTGTCTTTGATTCAATGGAGGTTCAAGGTCGGCTTCGGGCTCGAGGCGCCCTCCGTGGGCACTCATTCACTCATGTTCTGAAAGCTGCTAGGTGTGAATGTTTCTCCAGATTAGAGAGCCCCATCAGGTGGTTGCTTTGCGCTTTCTTGAGATATTCCACTTACCTAGGACCCCTTTGAGAAACGCCCATGCAATAGTCAGCTCAGTCTTTCAGGTGCCTAAGGCGCCGCGATGGGATTACAGCAGCCCTTGGTGCCCTCAAGAAGGCGGGCAGCCGAGACCGGGGTGCCGTTATATGCAGCTGCCTGATTTGGCTCATTTTTTGGAAGGAAGGGCATTACAGTCCAAGGTTGGCAACAGGAGGCAGGTGCCAACTTGGAAAAGCAACTTGAGCATGTGGGAATGCCGCTTGCCACTTCAGAGCAGAAGCTAATTTCAGAGTCCAACATTTGTTGATTCCTGCACCAAAAACGACAAGGGCTGTAGAAGCGTTGCACGATAGGGTGAGGCTCAATGAGGAATGCCAGGCTATTAATTTGCCAGATTGGACAAGCATCAGTCCGGTTGCCAGGCGGTTGGGGGTACGAGGCGCCTTTCGCGGACGACGTCGACCTGGACACCTATTTCGACTATGTTAACTCAGGACGTCACATTCACGCGTTTTGCTTCTTTTCATTTCTGGGCCAGCTTAGCTCAGAAATGCTCAAGACCGACTCAACTCTTCAAATAAGGGCTCTGACGCCCTACTTGGACCTGCCTGTGTTGTTTCCTGTCCTGGTTGCGGCATAGAAGATGCACTCGCAAGTGTCAGGCAATATGGTCATATGACATTTTACAGTATACATGCAAATTTACACGTGCTTTGCAAAATGTGTACATCCATAGTGTGCCGGTTGACTTCAGTCTCTACCAAGTTGGTTCCAGCAACGCGACAAGCCGTGTTACTTGTTGTTGTCTCGCTTCCTTGATATACCCGAAACATTGTGAATAGTCATGCGACATTAAGCATGTTTCATCATGTTTAGGCGGGCCTATCTGGCTCAAGTCTCTTTACCTTGTACAAGCTTTCGCCTGTGCATGGTAGAAACTCGGACGGAGTGCGAACAAGAGACAACACAGTCGTTAGACCGCAATCGAGCCGACTCAGCGTTTGCCTCCTATTTCGGGGATTCCGCTTGGATTGTGAGGAAACGTCATTTGCCTTTGCGATAACATGTAGAGGTACATATACATATATATATATATATATATATATGCATATATATGTATATATATTTTTGTAGATGTACATATGCGTACGATTCTCTGGATATCAGCCGTATGGTGTATCCCACGAGCTGTGAGACAGCAGAGGGAGGTTCTGAGTGACAGGGTGTAAGACAACAAGGATTCAGTCGGCCAGAATCTGCAGGCCATGGAAGGGATGCCGTCGCGGTAAGTGTTGGCGCTCGCGTCAGCGCGCTTGAGCAAGTTTGCTTGTGGGAGCGCGCTGGTGGGAGTTGGCCGTTGATTTTGCCGCAAAAGCCCTTCGCAATGTTAACACACCCAAACAGTTACCCCTGGATGCTGAGTCATGCGACATGAAGCGTGTTTGATCATGTCCACACTTGGGGCCTAATTATTTGGCCCAAGTCTCATTTTCTTTGCACATGCCTTCGCTGGTGCATGGCAGTAAAACGCACGCAGTGCGAACAAGAGACAACACAGCCATTATTTGTCTTCGGGGTTGTGAATATATATATATATATCTATCACATATATATATATATATATAATAATTTGTCAATCTCCCCTCGATTCTCAAATATATCCTCAGTTGGAAGGATAGCGCGCGCTAGTGCATGTTACAAACAGCGGCGAGTCTGCAGAGAATTGGCAGTGGCAGTGGACCTCAACTTCCACTTACGCAGCCAGAGCTTGACATGTGGCAGGCACAGCAATTATATGAGGCAGCGCGTAGGCGGCAGTACGACAGACCTTGTGACCGCCAAAGGCATTTGAGGTTTAGCGTCAACAAACCCGCAGGCACAGCTTTTTGCGTCAACCCCTTGCACACGTGACTGCTTTGCTAGGCACATGCTCACAAAATGTCCGATAATTGCCCAAAGGGGGCGTTTTTGTCGTTTTTTGGAGAAATGCCCTTCACGAGAAACGAAAATTCGAGGCTGTTCAGAAACCAGCAGCTGGCTTTTTGTGTGGCGATCCGCCAAATCCCACTCAAATTAACCATTTGAGGTTTGCTGTGGAAACATTAGCCCATGGGTCTGGAGCTGACGGAGGCTGGCTTTTAAGATGCTCTACCTGGTTGAACGGTTCGGTCTCGCAGCACTCAGTAGCGACTTGCTAGGAGGAGGCTGCAAGGACTACCAGGGCATCAAGACGGGTGGCTGGAAATTTGATGGCTCTGGCTGTGCGCCCGAGAAGCATTCTGTGCAAACGACAGCAAACGAAGATCATTGGAGTACTTGCATGTGTACCCAAACCGATTCTCCTCGGGTAGGCGAAGCAGTCGCAGACGGGAGAGTATCAATCTTTTCGCGAGAAGTGCCCCAGCACCAGAGACTTTGATCCAATGCCAAGCACGAGACAAGATCCGCATCACGTGTTCCATGCATTCCAGCGCTTACCGCCAAGGATCACGCCTTCTAAAGTGGATCCCTTCCCAGTTCAATCAGGCAACTGACACCGTGCCACACTCCAGCCTTCGTTTGAGGTGGATGGCGCCTGTCCGGGAGCAGATGCCCCACTCTTCGGACAGCCGGAAGGCCGCACAGACGTAGAGGGCTGCTGCTGGTGGGGCCGAGGGGTCATCCAGACCACGGGCACTTGCCACTCGGAGGGATGGGGAGGGTTTTGCTTTGAACATCTCAAAGCTTTGGGAGGAAGATAATGCCCTAGCCTGAACAGGCCGAGCCGAATGTGTTTTTCTTTTTTTTCTCCTCTCATTTTTTCTTCTTCGCTCATGCATGGGTTGATGCCACACGTGCGTACTCATACATCTAATCATTTGTATGTGTCGAAGAACACATGTCGATCTGGGAACTTGCCTAAAGCAAAAGCTCGCACTGGTCGAGGCAACTTTGGAAAGCGCCTCGGCTGCCACTTGGGCCACCTTGCGATGTGTTGGCAGGTGCAAGGAGATTTGCAAGGAAGCTCCCACTTGACATGCAGATTGCTCAACTCCTTTGAGATGAGGCTGAACTTCTTCATGGGCAAGCGTGCAGCGGATGAGAACCGAGCCGCAATTTATCCCTCCATTGACTTCTGCAAGAACCCCAACTCCATTTGCGACCCGAGCAGCCCGCCGGAGCTCAAATGGGTCGCAGGCCGTGAGATGATGAGTGCTGGCCACAACACCAATCGACCCTCCAGGGGGGGGGGAAGGTTTAGCAATTTTAGCAACCTGCAGAATCTGAGCTATGCCGCGGTATCAAACTCGCTGCGGCAATTTGGAGCCTGGTAGTTCTAGTTGGCGTGCCAGGCATGTTCTACTGGCTCAATGCCGTGCAGCCATACAATTCAGGAGGCTGGAACTACAAGACCGAGTTGAAGCTTGGCTTTACGCAACAAAAGAGAGGTCAATGATGCTATTATGATGCTTCAAACGGCGCAGAGGTTCCCCACTTGTGCTCTCACAACTTGAATCGCTCCTGCTGTTGGTTTCGCGAAAAAGGGCCACAGCGATCCAAACTTAGAGGCTGCCCCAGTCCCACCCCATAGCGTCAAACATCATCTTTTTCCCAACAGCTGAAAGCTATGGGATCTTTCCCCAGATATCCGAGGTGTCCGGAGCGGCTCTGAGGTAGGGTTCTAATGAGGGTTCCAGGAATGTTGCGAGGGTTCGGAGAATGCATGGGGTGGTTTCAAGGAGGGTTGAGATCCCATAACGGTAGTTGTGGAATAAGAGAAGTACTCATATTAGACAGTGTTGGCAGTGGTCTCCGAGAGTGTATACGTGACATGCAAGTTCATAGATAAAGCGAAGATAGTTAGATTGACAGAATAGAGAACGAATAGATAGGCATAAAAGACGCATAGACAGACGTAACTAGAACGGATAGAGAGGGACAGAAATGGCAAGAGTGCTGAAATGCAGGCAACAGCGTCCAGCAACCACGTTTTCAACGTTGTCTTGAGGTCGCTTTCCATGCCAACCTTCCCAGCACCTCTCTCTTTTGTTTGCGACCATACGCGATCAAATTTCCGGGGCACTGTTACAGACTCTGACTTGATGCATTTCAATGCAACAGCGATTCCATGAGATGCAAAACTTGATGCTCTTTTTGACGTGGCACTTGTGCCAGTAGCTCTGTCATGTGATTTCACCGAATGACAACGCACGAAAGAGAATGTGATTTGTTTGCTTGTGATTGGTACTGCAGCGCAACTCCCAATGCTTCCAACGACACTCTGCAGGAGTATTGCCCCTGCGGACGGATAGCCCATCGGAGGTCTTGAAAGATATGGTGTTCTCACATGTTGGATTTTGTCGAGGGTAGCCAGCATTGACAGCAGCAGAGCAGTTGCGGGCAACTCCTAGCTAGGAAACAAAAGAACGACCACCGGACAAGCGGTTGGCAAGATCTTATGCTACAAAGCAATTCTGCAATGTGACGCGGTTGCACGCAGCTGAGGAAGAAGTGGGTTGATGGTGGAATGAAGATGAGTGACACGTCCTTCATCAACGGTGCGTCAGGCATTGTCAACCGTGGCTGCCACAACCCGCCAAACTGCGGCACGGGCGAGCTTCATGCTGGCCCTGCGCGAGCCACAAATTTTCAGAAGGTGCTGAAGGCAATGGGATTAATTTGAGAGCTCTGAATTCATTCTGCATGGGAACCCTGTGCTGACAGTCAGATAGGTTGTTCTTGCCCGAGGCCAGAAGCAAAAACATCACAATCTTTCATGTTGTGACTGCATTTGCAAAGCGAAGACGCGGCAAGTATCTTCAATTCATGTAGCTTCGTACTGCCTAGCTGCATTTTGAGGGAGGGAAGGTGCGAGGAGGCAACTGTACAGGCAGGAGCGAAGGAGGCCTTTTGCAAGGCGAAGAGGGCTGTGAGGCATCTCTGCGCTGTAACTCCCTGGCTAAACATGCTATAGGCAGCCTCTTTGCACCTTTCCCGGGAAATGTCCAGCCCTCATTTTTCGTTGCCCTGAAGGTGCTCCTTGGCTCGCCAGGCTTGCAATCCCAGGCTTGTCTAGTGGATGACTCCTCCTCCTGTGAGATCACCACGAGCATGACAAGCTTGCTGAGGGGAAAAACAGCAAGACATGCATGCTCAGAGCGGCTATGAAGAGTCTGGAGTCTGAAGTTCGATTGTCTCCTGGGCATCAAGCAAATGAACCCAGCTTCTCGGAAAGGAGGTGAATTCTTCTTCAACTTGGAGTGGAGGAAGTGCACGGCCCAGTCACCTGCGGTCGACACCGGTTGAGGGCTTGATTTTTTTGGCGTCCGTGTCAAGGAGAACGCACATTGCAGGTTTCAATATGCAAGAGACGCCGATCCAGCCTGGACGGACTAGTGGTTTGATTTAGAAGCTCGATGCCGAGGTTTCCTGACAGTGATATTCTGCGGCCACACACAACTATTCCAGTTCGAGGTGCGCAGCTCACTTGGTCTTGCTGGAGCGCAGGTTAGTTTGGGAGTGTCGATAGTACACTGTGGCATGTAAGTTTGCTGCAATCGAAAGTCAGAGAAGCCTTCTCATTTGGAAGTTTTGCTGCTGTGGGAAGATACAAGTAAGGTTGCTGAAAAACAGCAACTTCTCATTTCCTGCCGTGCCCAAAAACCTGACCAGAAACATCGCAGAATAAGATCAAATTGCATTTGGGAGGCAGCTCTTGCGCTAAGAACGCTTATTTTCATTCAGATCAGTTCGCACCTACCTTGGCTGTGCCTGCTTGGCTTGTCCTGGCCAGCTGTTGACTACCTGGTGCAAACTCCTGCCGGGGAAGAGCCTCCGCCAATCACGTGCGTGATGGACACCATGCCGTCAGCACCAAAGAAGGCCCGAAGGGAACGAACTGAAAGATGCAATCCACTGCAAGATGTCGATGTCGTTCGTTGCTCTCAGGTAGGGCTTTTGCACCTTCACGCTGTCAGATTAGGTCAGAGTGCCGAAGTTTTGGCCATCGTTTCCCAGGTTTCCCAATCATCCACTGTCCAATTTCATACCTGCATATCAGGCACATGACACAAGCAGCACAGGCCCGGACCCCCTCAATTATTTTTCACCAGGGAGAGTGACTTTCCATGGATAAGAATTTGTATCATCGAGAGAAGCAAATTCTTGAAGCGTTGCACCGAATGCCCTGTGCACGTGCTGGCATGCCTGGAAGGCAGTGGGCCATTTGGCTGCAAATCGACCGCGCCGGCCAGACTGGATGAAGCAGATGTTGCTTCTTTGGGTCACAGACTGTACTCCGAAGATCACAGCAGTGGAAGTCGACTAGTTGTAGTGGGAGTTAATTTGAAGGTCACATGAAGGAGCCGGACATTTGACGTTTGATCTCATGAGTTTGGCCATGGATCTTGTTGGTTTTGCAGACGTTTCGGAGAAGGGGCTTCTGCTTGGGAACGCTGCGTAAGCTTTAGACAGGTTGCACTTAGGATGAGTGTCAATGGATCGGAACTAAGTCTTCAACATGACGGACACCTACACACTCGGATGGTGGAGCAAGTGCGCAGCGACATAGCCGATAGCACTTTGTGTGTTTTTTTCTTTCCTTTCAATGCGCCGACAACTGCAAAGCAGTGGACTCTTCAGATTCAAGACGGGTCGTTTTGGTGACCTTGGCAGTCCTCAAGTCGCAGCCTACGTACCGATAAATTGACTACATACAAGGGTTTGTCAGACCTGCAATCTCCCGAGCCCGCCTTCTCTCCGATGCTTTGCAGCGGGAGATAGAGCGAGAGAGCGCGAGACGGAGAGAGAGAGAGAGAGAGAGAGAGAGTGCAGAGTGGAGGTGGTCATCCCAGTGCTAATTGACTTGCCTCCTTTGAAGGAAGTATGCCAGTCGCAGAGGTACCTTGACTTCTTTTCCTGGAGGTTACTGAACTTTCCACTGGGCCCAGCACTCAGTGGCAAGCCGCACTCGTAAACGTCGTAAACCCATTGCCTTGTGGCTTAGGCGTGGCCGGTCCGCTGGACCCGTATGTGGGCAGGCAGCCATTGCCCCAGTTTCTGGTGGGAAGAAGCAGAAGGCAAAGCGGCAAAGCCCAATTTGCAGTATATTGATGTATATTGGGGAGTGGAATATTTGGCTTGGGTAGGGTTGAGAGCTTGGCATTGGGACATCACTTGATCCTAGTTTGCTTGACCTGGATCCTCCACGATTCACCACCGATGGGAGAATCCAGGATCCAATTCTGCTTCTTCCGGCTGCCATTGGAAGAAGAGCTGAAGGCGATGGAGGCTGCGAGCCTCGGTGGATGATCCCAGTGTTCAGAAAGAGTGAGGAGGGGAGCAGGCAATCACGTGCTGCAAGAACCCTTCACCGATGTTTTGCGTAGGTACTTGACCACAATTTGTCTGGCAAAGACCATATTTCCATCACACAATTCTGTCGCTCAAGCATGCAATGATTCCGCCTTTTCCAGCAGGTCCAGACTTTGCTTCTGGCGGCACCGCCCACTTGTCGTGTGAGAGTTTGTGACACGCCGCGCACAGCCCATCAGTCAGAACACAAAGCCAAAGCTCTGCACTGTGCAATGGGCGCATCGGCTTTTTGCGGAGTGTGCACCTCTGCCTTTGCAAACTGCCTGGCCGGCAGGCAGATGGTCTACCGCCGCCCAACAACTGGCTCTGTGAGTCGCAGAAGCTGCTGGCTGCAGATCATGACATGGTGTTTTCCGGATACATGAATATCGATCAACTGCCATCGCTTGTGAAGCATTCCAAAAGACTTCAAAGGGCTTGTGCAGCACTAGGAGAATAAATGCAGAGTCTATTTCCCTTCACTTGGAGAGTCTTGTAGCCAGGTTCCTCCCCTGTCCCGCAAAGCGTGCAAGGACTCGGGCACAGAGAATGGAGTCCTTGGGTTTCCAGAGCTGAGGTTGATGTTCTTCCGGCTGAGGATTTCGTGGCCTGTCGGCAAAGGGCCCGACTTTTCGGGCAACAGCGCAGCAGCATGCATGCCCTGCAATCCTTGGCCTCGATGTTCTCATTTGATGTATTTGTCGTTTGGCTTGTCAAGTTGACTCAGACGGCTGCTTGGGCAGCTTGAATCCATGCATAGCGGATCCCGTTGCGTTGTTCCTTGCCCTACATGATGGCCCTACATGTTTGTCGCTGTTGCAATTGTTACAGCCGAGGAACAACGTTGAACATGAAGATGCTTTCGAAGAATGCGTTGACTTTGACGAGCTGGAAGAGGACACGGGTTCCTTGCTTCATGGCCAGCCAAGCAATACTCGGCTGTTGGCTTGGATGTTGCCGAGATTGCTCGAAATCAGTAGCCGCCAGGCAACGGGAGAACTCTGCAAGAGCTACAAGCGTTTAGGGATAGTCAAGAGTCGGAACCCAGGCCGCGTCTTCTTGCTGTCTTGCTTGCATGGTCGGAATTCTAGCCTTGTATGCAGCTGTAGCTAGATCCATGCGATGCGTAGTTCCAGTGTTTAGCTGTCGCCTTGGCTCCAAGATGTGAGCTGTGCGCCCGCCAGCATGGCTGGGGAGAAGAGTGCCCTTGGAGCTATTCAAGCTTGTGCCGAAGCGAAGCATTGGCAAGATGCTGTGCAGGTCCTGGAAGAAACTTGGCTTCAACAGCTCCAGGATTGGTGCCCGTGACACTGCGTGCCATTTGGTTGTTGGTGGATCCAGCCCGGGAAGTGAAGAATCAGATTCAAGCGAGTATTGGCTTTCAGCCACGGAACTCGGTGCCTGCTGTCAACAACCTTCTTGCAATTGAGACAAACATGGTTTCCAGCCCATCTAAGGACGTGTCCGGACGATCATGCATTCAGGCCGGAGTGTAGACGGCTGATGTTGGAACAACGCAGCACATCACAACGCAACCCAACATAACTCAACACAACACAACACAACACAACACACTTCAACTCCCGAAGGAGAGATCTCATTTTTCGAGTACAACCGGTAAGTTTTGAGTGGGCAGGCATTCGAGTGGCGAGACCGATGGCTTCCCTCTAGAATCAAACACGTTACCAGGACAAGTAAGAAGCACACGCAGCGACAAAAGAAGGGGCCAAAAAGACTTTAAATCACTGATGCAGGTACGTCAATCTCGCGTCCCAGATTGATATCGGAGGCAAGAGTGGCACAGGTCTTCGTTGGTGCCAGCCTTGCTCTGCCCCTGGCACCCCCTGCTGAAACACATAGTCACGACCTGCGGAAGACGCCCTGACAGTGATCCTAATGTCGACCAAAAGGTCCTGAGCGGCGTGGTGATCGGGAGGAATCCCGACCTTCACGAACATGCTCAGAAGACGGGGTCCAAGGATTGCCGTGGTGGAAGAGGTCACGCAAGAAGTAGTTGCCTGCGTCCGGGGCCAAGACACGCTGAGACCGATCACAATTGTCCATCAGGGGCTGGAAACTGTTGATGAGCTCAGACACGGTCAAGGAGGATGAGAATGTGATGAATCTTGGTTGTCACGCGCCGCCGCATCAAGCTGCTTCTGAATGTAATCCTGAAGGCGCGTCAGGTCATCAAAGGAAAATGCTGCTGAGTCGGTCGATTGAAGCATTCCTTCCAGTAGTTGAAGACAAACTTCCACTGTGGATGATTGTGTCGCAGCATTACGATGCTGATCATGGCATTGGCGCCCAAATGAGGGCTGCGGAATCCGACGAAACCCTTCAGTGACCATCGGCTGCATGGACCTGTTTGGGGCACTTCCCACTCCCTGTAGGCAAATTGAGGTAGTCGGTCATCGTTGAAGCCACTCTGCATCCAAGGACCAGGATGAGAAACTTTAAGCCATTGAGCGTCCGGTTGTGGAGGATCAGGGCACCGTTCCAACCACGGCATGATAAGCGAAAAAGGGGGTCGCAATCAAAGTAGGGCACAAACGGCTGCGTTAGGCATCCAAACCGCATGAGTGCAATCCAACGCATGTGACAAAGCGACACAAATGTTCAAGCAAGTGGAATCCGCACGCAACAGGCAAAAGCAACTTCATCAACCAGAAAAGGCGCACAAAGTCATTCGGCATCCCAATCAAAGTCATGTCGAGGTAAGCCTTGTTGAAAAGCCAAGCAAAAAGTTGGCGGTGAAGGGCTTCTCCACGCGCCATCAGGTACCGAACACGCCGCCGATGAGGAGGTAGTCGACCCACCCGTATTTACAGCTTAGGGCATTGTAGAGATCAGCGGCTGCCATCCTGGGGTGTTGGCATGAGAAACGGGTTGAGTCAATTCCTCCAGTGCTATCACGTGGCCAGTAAACCTCGAAGTGGTAAGGCCAGGCGCTGGGCCTGTAGAAACATTGTGGAGTCCCACTTTGATGTCATATTGATGTAGAAGAACTTCCAAGGCTTGATGAAACCGCTCAGTCCGAATAGAAGTGAAGAAGACGGAAAGGTCTTGAGACACAACAGAAGACAGTACTTCCCACAGTTGTTGCACCAATTCTTGAACAGGAAGCTGACCAGGTACGTAATCTTGGTAAGCTCGAAGATTAATGGGCGAACGAACTAGCGGGGTGGGAGGTGGAGCCGAATTTGGGGTGGAATTCCCAAGATCTCTCTGACACATGCGTGTCGGCAGCTAAACTGTTTTGCTGCGCGAGCGTTGGCCAGCCACTGCGCCCAGATCCTGGCGCGTTCAGCAGAAATGCGTGACGAGCTTCGGATCGCTCAAGCCCTCCCACGCTTTCTCAAATGCGCGTGACCTCCGCACTTACTTATTGGCAAGCAATGGCCCTAGAACTGTGTTGTGTTTTACCGCGGTGGCCCCTTGTCTGAATTCACGGTTGCCATTGGTGTCAAAGCTCCCTGTTCCAAATGAACACTGGCCAAATAAAGGCCTACTCCAGAAGACATGTGTTTTGAGTGGCTGCTTCTGAAAACCCGTCTTTAGTGATACTGGGAGAAAACGTTCCAACTCCGCGGCGGGGCAACTGAGCAAACTGACAGGAATGCGAACGAGGCTTTTGTGGCAGGAGTTCGATACAGGGCCCATGCTCAATGCGCGATCGAAGCCAATGTCGCTATGAAAAAAGCGGGCATTTTCGCACGCGGCCACAGTAGGCTCTGTCACGGCCTGTTCCCATTTGCGAACAGCATAAGCAGCTTCTCAAAGACTGTGAAGCTTTTTACGTTCCACGCGGCCCATGGCAGCCACCTGCAAGACTTCGTCCTGCACACACAGATCGTCCGGGAGAACTGTGCTGCAGTTCCACTTCAGGAGAGCTACCGGCAGCATGCCCTGCGGAGTGAGTCCACCTGAAGGCATTGCTGCACCACCAACAACTCCTCCGGAAGGGCCTCCAGGGGCCCCATCGCGGCGCCAAGCACCTGGAGCGTCATGGACTCTGGGTGGCGCTCATCCAGTTTGCCTTTCAGCTCGTACATCTTCTTCCGCACCTCAGCTTCCACTGTGGCATGCGCCCCTTGCGGTCGCAGGAACCTCCGGCACATTGACTGACAAGCTCGCCAGCGGCTCCTCGGCTGAAACCGGATTGGCAGCGCCAGAAACTCCGATTGGTGTTTTCAGGGGCGAACGGTCGGGCTTTCCCTATACGCATGGAGAACTAAAAGCCAGGCCATTATTTGCCATCAGGAACACAGTCAAATCTACATGTCTACTGAAACGCGGCGCTTTGGAGCTAGGAACATTGGCAACCCAACAAACAGCTCGTTATGTTTCCCGGGAACCAAAACCCGTGCAATGGACAATGCGGGCGCCTTGATACAGCTTGGTTATCAGGGTCGGTCTTCGTGCGCAATGGAAGTCGGCATTTCGGACACATGTTTGCTGATTCTCTTGTTCAATGTCACTGGCCCCAGAGCTTGGAGCAGCGCCGGCCCCAGCATTGCCAGGCCAGTCCCACCAGGCGCCGGCAGTGTCTCTGGCAGCTCTGTTCTGCCTGTCACGGTGGGAGATCAGCTCCCATAATCTATCAACACCGTGCCAGTGTCGCCCAGCCTGGAGCTTGCACGATCAGAATACTTCTCAACAGCCCCTATTTATCTGGCAACAAGCAGCAGGCGCATCAGCCTGTCTGGATCTGACACATGATGCAGAAACACCTAGAGTTCTGGCGCACTGACCCCGCCATGCCCGCCTTGGGGGAAGTGCTTCTGCCAGAGCACACCGAAGAAACTCTTCCCAGCAGATTCTCTGCGAACTCACCCAACGGAGCCCGGAAAACGGCCTGACTCCGCTGCTGATCTCAGACTCGGCCACGGCACGGTACTTCTCTTCCAGCAGCAGCTGTTCGCGGCCTTGAAAGCAGTGAAACGCCTTGACGGGCAGCAAGTCCAATTGCAGCCCCTGATCAAAGACACACTGCCTAAGAATGTTCCAGACCTTCAGGTGCCGCAGCTTGGCCGGCTTCTTCTTGCGGCAGTTTGAAGCCACGATCATGGCCATGCTTTTCTCCAAGGCCATCTGGCACCACTCGCTGCCGGCAAGGATGTAAAATGGCTGCGAAATCCATTCCTTACCGCGCCAGCAAAAGAAGGGTTCCAGGGTGGGCGCTGAGGGCTGGCGGCAACTGCTGAGGATGCACAATGCGCGGATAACCGGGCCGTAGGACTTATCAGAACTTTCCACGGATCCATACGGCTAACAAAATGTGCCAGGAATGCACTGCTTCTTCCACCTACACTAGAAAGGCCCAGCATCAACCACGTCCACAGTCTGCAGCCAATGCAGACGCTGGAAGTGCGGCACATTCCCCTTTTTGAGGAAGCCGGGGATCGACCCCGCCACCGCCTGCTTCATGAACATGTGCCCCGACTTGCTCAGCGGCGGCCCAGGGAGACGCAGCCAAAGCACTGCGCAGTCGCTGAAAAGTTCCCTGACCTGTCAGACCGGACGCAAATGTTTGCTAGAGCTTGGTCAAAAGTCAAAGCCAAAAACCCTTTCCTCCTTGGAGCGTGGCTGAAAAAGCTTGCTAGTCACGCACAAGCATGGAAACAAAACCTAATCCTATAACAGCGCAGTTTCCAGACATGCTTTTGTTGAGCTTTGCAGGCCTAGCGCGCGCTCCATCTCCATCTGCCGGGTGCAGCCGGCAAGCTGTTAGCCGGCAGATGTCGGCCAGGTGTTGCACACTGACTGCAGCACTTAACCACTCGCGCGCTTGCTCGAGAGGCAGGAGCTCCGCAGCTGCCCGCTGCAGCACGCCCGGCGGCGCCCCTGACTGCAGCGTAGCACCACAACTGCACTTGCGTGCCCAGGTCCAGCGC